GTATTTCACATGTGATTTTAAAATGTTTCCACATTTTAAATTTCACAAGTACCACATGTGATTCTTCTAAATGAAAAAGGAGTAAATTGAAAGTCCTGAAAAGGTTAGTAAGTGGGCCTTGAGTTAAGATGTTTTTTCTGTCAAACTAAGCCAAAGTCAAGAAGCTTGAAAAGAAGAAACTTTAATGAATCAAAAGTGATTAAACTTCATATCAGTCACATATCAGTAAAAAACTGTGGGATAAGGGCGCGGATTAGAAGATGGAGAAGAGATGAGGAAGGAGAGAAAGAATTTCAAAGAGGAGGAAGAGAGGAGGGTCGATCCTGTAATCCTTCCACAGTCAATGTATTCCCAATGAAGCACAAGATCCCACACAATGGCCCATTGAGTTGGCTGCTTTGGCACTGTGATTGGCAACAGTGATGTTGTGTGTGCGTGTGCGTGTGTGACGGCAAAGTTTAGAGAGGGGTGAAAGAAAAAACAGAGGAGGAAGAGGAGACATTGTTGAGGAGGCTTAGGTCTTTGTCCTAATCCTAATCTTGACTAATTCCTGTTGCCAAGAACCATTAGAGGACAGAAAAGAGCCACACAGCTGCCTCTTTATAAACCTCAAAAACCATCCAGATGGAAACACACACACACACACACACACAAATACACACACACACACACACAGAGCTGAGTTTCCATTCAAGTAATTTTATGCGAATTCCAAAGTACTGAATCAGAAAAGTGGCAAACAATGGCAAAATATCATAAATATTAGAAAACATTAATCATCATGTCGACGTGGTTTTTGTCAATAAAAGTAGAATGAGAGGAATAAACTCTCGTGCGTAGGCCTATACATACAGTACATTTCAGCTCAGCTGCTGAAGAGGCAGATCAGAAATAAGAAAGCAAGCATTCATAATTCATTCAGATGCAGGTGTGCTGTCGATATGAATGAGATCGTGCTGACGTGCTGCAGGTGTGTTTTGTAAGTGTGTGTGTGCGTGCAGGTGTGTGTCTGCTCTTGCGGCGGCTTGGCAGGACACAGTGAAGGTGACGGCCGGAGAGCAGGCTGGAAGACAGACACGCCTATACACATCTCTCTGGCACAGGCAGCTTCAGCTCGGATTCGAGCCGGTAAGAATGCCTGCGGTGTGTTGGCGCGCGCGTGTCTGATTTAACAGCCAAATGAACTTTATGCACTGTGTCTTCCTCACGTCGCCCTCTGACAGACAGGTGAGGATGTGGCAAGAAGAGCGAGCTGCAATTATAATTCAAGCAGCCGTGTGCCGAGATCTGACTATGTGGACAAAAAAAAAAAAAGAAGAAATCCCATGATGCTAATTACCATGATTTGAAGCGGCGTACACACAGCGAACCTTTGTGCGCTGGTTCATTATTTCAGAGTATTTTCTGCATCTCATGTTTGATCTGATCTGTGCGCATCTGCAGTGGTGTGTTTGGCTGACAGCGGGGGATCTCCCACAGCAGAGACACGCAGAAACAAAGGTGCCCTTGTGTTGTTTCGCTCTGACCACATGATTTCACAGGCGATAACATTCCTCTGCTGTATCCACTACATAGTTTGGTAATTACAGATACAGGACTAACAGCTATTAGCATAATGCGTGTGTTTTTAACATTTTTTGTGAGTCTTATCTGAGTCTGTATGATTATGAGTGCATATATCATACCTTGCAAGAATTGTGATATTGGATAGATGCTGGAAACCTGAACATAGTAGACAGTTCTGATGTTCATGGCTGTGGTAGTCCATCAAATACACACTAAAGTGTGTGTGTGTGTGTGTGCGCGTGTCCCTGCTTTGTATCAGCTGTGACTTTACAACAAAACACAGAGCTTCACCAAGGAGCAACCCTGCTCCAAATAAAAAAGAGAATCTCAATGCTGACCTCATAAATGTCATACTTTCCACAGCAGGACGGAGCGCCCGGGAAGTAAATAACATCCTCTTCAGACTCCCTCCTGCCATTCACTGTGGTTTTGAAATACTTGACATGTGAAAACAGCTTGACATGTGATTTAAAATCTTTGGTTTCACTGTTTAACGGTCGATAAATAGAACAGTAAATAAAAGTGGTTATTGTCTGCTGTTGACTGACATACAATGGTGGTCCAAGCTACATTCAGCTCATGAAAGCTTGCTGTTAAAGCGTTCTGGTAGAAAACATGCCGGTCCATATCAGCTTATTGCAGATTTATCAGTATGCCAGTTCTGATAACAAGATATTGCAGGACAGAGATGCCTAAGTAGGATTGAGATAATTTCACTGATAACTTTATTTTAAAGGCCATTGTTCCTGTCAGATTTCAGTTCCAGATATCCCCCTCACACACTTTACAATACACACTGTGACACTTAAAGTCAAGACGCTTAACCCCTAGTTGCTCCAGAGGCGTGCTTCACAGAACACAGAACTTGGGTAGTTTGGATCTTAACACTGGAGCTCAGCCCCCTCCTGTTCACGCTGACACCACCATCATCGGCCCGGATTTCAAACAACGATAAGAGGAGGAAATCAACAATCTTACAGAGTACAGAAAACAACCTTCTGCTCAACGTCAGCAAAACCAAAGAGCTGATCGTTGATTTCAGGAAAAAGGAGATAAAGACACACGCTCCTGTCTACATCGATGGAGCAGGTGAACAGTTTCAGTTCCCTGGGAATCAGCATCACTGAGAACCTGACATGGTCATTTCACATCTCCACGCTGGCAAAGAAAGCTCAGAAAATACAATTCTGGGCTGAACACATTCAGTGAAGACCCTGATGGATGACTGCAACTGCAGCGCCCTATGGAGGCAGTGTCGACAATGTGTTATGCCCTAAAGTATAAAAGAAAGTAGACACAAGAGTGTCTCAGAACATGCATGTTCGCTTTTGTGCAGACAGAGAAGCATATTCCAGTTAAGCTTAAATGCTCCAGTTTTTAACATGCCGAGCACACATATGGAATATTGGATTGTGCTTTAATAAAGTTCTGGAAAACAATGCAAGCGTGCTTAAATGTTCTCGCAGGTAATGCAGAGATTGTTTGAATTTGCCTTCATTCTTGCCATTGCAAGATCACAAATTCACAAAAGGGACTTATTTACAACACAACCACACACTCAAACGCATGCATACCCATGTATACACCTAAGAATGGGAAGACAAAAAATAAAACTGTCTTGATTGTAATCAGCTTGTTTTTGCTGTCTCATTTCTCTAAATATTTAGACAGATAGGACAGAATTTCCTTTGTGCTCTGAAAACCTCATCATCTGCGATCAGGAGGAGGCCAGGAAAACTGCACACTCATCATAAACTGGCTGAGCGATGCAGCAACCACAGGATGGAGAGAAGCCAGGAGATTCTCTTTTTGGTTTCATTAGAAGCAAGACAAGCCAAGGGGGGACAAAAATCGAACTATGCAATGATGTGAACAGGGACAATTAATGTAAAGGACTCCAAGACGAGTTACAACTCCAGAAGACATTCCATGAGCAGCATCCCGTGGTGACAGTAAAGATGTATTCCCGATAGTAACTCAGAAACCAATGAGCACTAACCACTGACACAGGCCTGGTCTGGTCACTATCGATGCAGTGATTAACTGTGATGCAACCTGTACACAGACACAACATAAAACCAGTTTTGATACACCCTTAGTATCAAGAAAAATGTCAGCTTTCCCAGAACTAAGAAAACAGGCTTGTTTTAGATTATCAGTAGAGTTTACAAGGAGTTTCACAAGACCACAGGCTAGAATGTTTTCAAACCAGAACCATGTAATTGTTCAGGTGAAGCTAAAGCATAAAATTACCCAACACTGGACCCACTAGGTTACCACGGGACGACAGCGATAATGACTAACCAGAGCCTACATTACACAATGCTGATTTCACATATTTGACTCAGGTCTGAAAACCACACGACCACACTAACCTCACCTCCCAGGAGCCTGCTCGACTCATGTTCCTGTACTTCATAAATCCTTAAGCATCCTGGTGGAAGGCTATTGTGCAACCGCAGTGACACAGCCAGTGCCTCATCTGACACAGCCACACAGCCACAACGCAACCCGGCATCAGTCAAACTCACATTCTGCCCTTTCCCAACCTGGAAAATTACCATTGCAATTACTGGATTACCTCTTCTGCTATGGCATTTTGCATTTCCATCCATGTCACCAAGTACAGTACCTGGCACTGGAATGTGGTGAGTCAAACATAAATATGTGAAGAGCTTCTGTGTGCAACAGCCCAGGAGGACACAAACTACAAATTATCTTGGATGAACTTCCCAGAGACATTTGGGCAGTTCTTGACCAGTACAGCTGGGATTTCCAAGCAGGGGTACTTCTACCCCCTGCGGTGATTCTGCAGTTGTCAGAGGGTTTGTGAAATGATTGCAGCAGAAGTTATTTGAAAAACAGAAATCATTATCATATTCACATATTGAGTCAAGCTATTACATCTGAATATTATATGTTGCAATTGAGAGTGTGTGAAAACTGTTGAGCAATCGAGAAGAGAAGTCTTAATACTAAGCTAAGAGTTTATACATTGTGCAATATATAGCTAAACAGAATGAATAAACGGTTCGAATAGTTCAATGTAATAAAATTATTAGCTAAAAGAAATGGTTGGTGGGAACAGATAGCTAAAGGGAATGGATAAGGGTTGAAATAGCGAGATTAAAGGCATGGATGAAACAGCTAAATGGATAAACTGTTGAATCACAATCAAAGGTTGAAACAGCCAGATTCTGTGACTCAAATTTATAGTAACACGAATGCAAACTTGAAACCAAACAGGCCCAAACTTTGACTGCTCAGTTACAACAAAAATAACAATATGCTCTTTCATAAAATGAATAGTGTTAAATTACATTCGGTTTAAAATCCATGCAAATGAACACATGAGGAACATGAAGGGCGGTGGGGATGAAGGGACGCTTGAGTTCACTTGACTGGGAATCTCTACAAAAACATGCAGTACTCACGTTAGTCTTGCTGGACACGGCGAATGTGGCTCGGCTCGAGAAGCGGGCAGCGGTGGGGCTGCTGCTTGACACTGGGCCTGTCACTATGGATGAAACTCTGGAGCCCACAGGAGGACTGCTGGAGCTGGGGGAGGATGAGAAGGTGGCAGGTGGGGACGCAGGACTGGACTGATTGCTGAGCCCGCTGTAGATCTGGGCTTGGCTCCCCAGGCTGCAGGGCTGGACGTGGAGGTGAGCCTGGCTCTGAGTGTGAGCCTCACCTTTCCCGTAGATCACCTCGTTTATCTCCTGATGGTTCTCCTGAATGTCACTTAAGTGATTTTTGTGATTCTGACTGTGATTGTGGCTGTTGTTGAGCAGGGTGCCACACGTCATCCCACTCAGGAGCTCCACCTGTCGCGTCAGAGCCTCCAGCTGACTCCTGAGCTGCCTGTTCTCGAGCTGGAGCTGAGCCACAGCCCGTCCGAGAGGCCCGCTCAGGTTGGCTGTCTCCTCCAGACGACGCTCCATGCCCTGCTTAAAAGCGCTGACGTCCACATGGATCTCCCTGATGGCATCCTGGAGAGTGTTCTCGTAACGGGCTAGAGCTTCACACACGGTCTCCCCCTCTGGAGAGGAAGACCGGGGGTGGCACAAGTCTCCCATCTCAGCCAGCGTTGATGCTTCGGCAGGGTCGGTACAGCTGCAGACACTGGTGACCCCCCGAGAGTGAGATCCTCGTGCTTTAGCTCCGTCCTCGGCTGCTTCTCCTTTATAAGCTGTGTTTTGCAGGTACAGGTGTCTCACTCCGTCTTCCGTCTAAAAGCACAAAAGGGACAAGACCTGAACCTTATATTATGAGCAGCTGTGAAACTCTTAATAGAACCAACCAACAAAGGCAATTGTGCTGTCCTGTGCTAAAATTCAGCTACATAAATAAAACAGTGACAATGAATGGGAAGATTAAATGATTTCATTCAACAAAATCTAAAACATCACAAACTTGATTCAACCACAACAACTGCTCCGTCTGACTGACTGTCTGCATTAAACGCTAAAGTTTTGCACTAAAGTTTTAAACATCTCTTTTATGTTGTTTCATAACCATAAAGCGCAGCAATGAGGTAATCTCCTCTTACAGCTGCAACAAACCTACCTCAGCTTCGCTCTCCGGCACCGTTCACTAGAGTTTCCTCCGCGCTGAACAGCTGTATGAGTGTATGTGTGTGTGGGAGTGTGTGTGAGCTCTGCTCTGCCCTGCCGCCTCTCTGGTTTGTTTAAACTCTCAGGTTGATCACTCCTCTCTTCTGGCCCGGAGGAGGGAGGAGAAAGGGAGGGATAAAGGAGGAGGGTGGTGGTGGTGGGGTGAAGAAACAACATGGAAAGAGTGGTAAATGTGAGGGGAGGGGAGGGAGGCGGGCTGGCTAGCTTTTATGTCCGTGCGCTGTGTAAACTATCAGAAGGACTCTTTCCTCTTCTAATTTCTTACTGCACCTCTTCCTCTCCTCTCCCTTTTATCAACAGGTTGATCAGAACTGTTGCTGACACTTCTAACAATGTCTTGTGTTGGTAAAACTATGATTGTGTCACTTTGAGAAACTCTGTGGTAGATGTGGCTTGAACTGTAGTACACACAATGATGTCAAACACTAAACACAGCACACAAAATCATAATCTGATTCGGTTTGTGGTGTCAGTGGGGATAATTAATATCTCAATCTCCACATCAGCTTGTCTCACATAGTCAATCCAAACACACAGTTAACCTTTTTCCTTCCTTCCCCCGACTGCTCTGCCTCCCTCTGGTCTCTATCTGTAGCTCTTTTTCTCTCATTATCTTTCCATCCCCTCGCTCTAATGATATTTTGTTAAGATAAGGGCCGCAGCAAGTCAGGAGGGAACATCTGACTTGTGGTTTTGTGCACAGCAAGGCCGTGTTGAATGAACATATAAGCTCCGTCGGTCATTCATCATGTAGCAAACAGCCACAGGTCGAATCTTTTACAGAAAAGCATTAATATGCTATAGAGTTTAGGCAGGTTTACCTTCCACTGTTTTCCTACATTTACTCTTTTTATGTTTTTCTATCATGTTCTATTGTATAGGCAGACAGACATGGTGGCTGCTGAGGACCACCACCCTCCCCCTTGTAACTGGACCCCAACAGAGCAAACATTCAACACCAGATAGCAATTGTGTGCGTGTGTGTGTGTGTGTGTGTGTGTGTGTGTGTGTGTGTGCACCCGTGCAACAGACACACTCATTCAAATACTTAGACATTCCACCCTCCTGCTTACTGTCAACAGTGTGTGTGTGTGTGTGTGTGTTTGTGTGTTAAGGAGTGTGTGAGAGCACTGGGAGATGAGGAGGGGGCTTGGTGAGATGATTTACTGGAAGATTGTCCCCCCCCCCCACACCTTTCCGTCTCTCTCACTCTCTCACCTCAGGGTTTCTTATGAGTCTGCTGGGGGCAGTCCAAGACACAGACGGCTCCAAACCAACAAACCACTGTAGAGGTCAGAGGTCCCGGGTATCAGCTTCATCAGTCACCAGAGGTTTCTGAGAATGCTGTTGTGCCTTAGATTAAATCCACATAAATGCTGATAAATCCGCGAATGTGTCTCGTCCTCTATTGACGCTGTTTCCCGTCCTCCAACCTTGATGAAAATTTTCTCAAGAGTGGAAACAGCTGAAAAGGCTGATCTTAAAAACACTGATTAATGGTTGTCAACCTTTCACTGGTATGTGTCTGTGTAGCAGCAACAATACAAAGCCAACCTCATGAAAATGTCCTATTTTTTATGTCAATAAAGCCAATAACAGTGTAATACAATAACAGATATACTAAAATACATCACTCTATACTGCTGTAAGAAATCAATACTTTTTTCAGTACTGTTGTTTGCAGAGCAAAAGCATGACATAATGTGTGACCTCATTATGTGGCTCATTAAATTATATATATTATAAATGAAACAATTCTTCATTTTGCTTAAGGCACCCTGAAAGTCTCTCTGTAACCCCTGTGTGGATTCCTGGACCACACTTTGAGAACCAATGCTTTCCAGTAACAGTGAGTCAGCAGATTATATAGTAAGACCTGCATTAGTCACAGTGGTTTGAAATGAAAAACTTTGAATTGTCTCTCCCTGGGCTGCCTCCCATGATCCTGGTTGAGTGTTTTCATTGTTTTGATAATGACCAAATATGTTTTCCTTCTGTGACGCTGGCTCCATCTGCGCTGAGCTGAGGATGTAAGCGTCCAGTGTGATTACTGAAGAGGAGAGGTCACACGCTTTGATTTTTTTCTCGTCTTCAGCCAGTAAAACTATTTGTTGATACTGCAGAGACATTTGCAAACACACCTCTTTCCTCTGTGCAGTGAGTCTGCCGCAATTGATTAAGTGTGGATTAGGTCATGTAACAGGCTGGAAGACATTTGGGGTTTGCGATATATAGCACACTTATGGACTAAAATATATCACTGTTGTCAAGGGCCTAACATCTGCAAAAAGTAAAAGGCAAGAAGTGAAGAAAGCCATTGTTATTTCCTCAGTGATGCCTCTGTCTCGTTTTAAATCCCTCCCTAATAGATCTGGGGGCAAACAGGTTCTAAAGACTACAGAAGCATAGTGTGAGCAGAAAATCAAAGTGAAATGTGAATATGGCAGTAGATAACCTCACTCAGCCTAAAAAAGTACTGGCTAAGTACTCATGAGCAAGGCACTGAAGTGGTAGCTACTGGTACTGGCCAAATCTCTGGTGTATAGCTCAGTTTGATTGACTGAGTCTTGCTTTTATGGGAAATCAAAAGTAATAAAACTCAGGTATTACACTAATGATCATGTTCACAATCACGTTCATAATCGGCTTTAAATAAAAAGCTGCACTAATCAATATTTTCATATGAACAATGGAATCAATGACTGTGTGTAACGTGAGAGAGGCTCATAGTGAAAAAGCCTAAACAGAAAAAGTTAGGAACTAGCATAGCTGAAGGAAATCATTAATACCGTTGTAAAGTTCATGTCTGAACAATAAAACTGCTGAAGCAGTTATATACATTGAATGTTCTTAAAATAAACAACAGCACAGCTTCTTTGTGTTTGTGTGTACTGTGTGTATACGAAGTTGAACGTCATAAGACATTTTAGCTAATCCAAAATTAGCTTATAGAACATGTTGAAGTGAATGGGTATCATACATGTTTAGCAGGATTCTGTCCCACAGTTTGTAAGCTAGCTAGCTTCCATGCTAAAATCAAGCAGGCTTTGGTGTGTTCCCAGATTTTTTAGCTTATTTCCAAACTGTCCATTATAGTGATTGTTACATCATAAGCAGCAAATCTCCCTCGACAGAACAACATGAGCTGACTGACCTCTTGCCAGATGGCCTCCATGGAAAGGTGAAATGTCACATCCGGGCTGGCTTAGCTTCTGTTCCACTAGCTTCGGTAACCTCATTACCAGTCTCTCATTAAGCATTTTGGTGGAGGGTCATTTTTGAAAATATGAAGTGCGTAATTGGGGTTTTACTTTCCACATTTAAAAACAAACAGGCCACCAGTAGGCTTCATCACTTGCTATAGTATGTTTAAACCTTTATGTGGCTTTATATGCTTTTTTTCAATGTTAAGAAGTAAATAATTTGTTAGCATACAAACAACTACAGCCCCCATGAAAATGACCTCAAAATGAATCCTTTATCAAGTGCAGGAATTCACATTTTTCTCCGATTGAGTCAAGAGATCAAAAACTCAAAGACTGTTTTATGTTACTAGACATTATCTGCCAAAACCAGACCAAACAAAACTGAGAAGTATTTGAAAGAGCACCACAGAACAGTCTGTGCATGTTTTCTGAAGAGACTTTGGAACTGCAAAATGTGGTAAATCACGCTAATATTTATGGTAAAGTGAAACTTAAATTATATATTTATAGCTGCTGTTTGCCTCCTAACACCATCAGATATCCATGTAAACACACTGTGGTTACATTTCATTCCTCTGTGATACTCTTTCCTACTCATCATGGGAGATGTTTCTTCTGAACGCGGTCAAACATTACATCAGTGAAAAAAACTGAACACAGATGTAATCAGTTCAATCAGAGATCTGTGACTGAGATAACAACCTTCAGGTGCCCGAAACGTTGCACAATAAGTCAAAACAAGGACAGACAAACACTGGTTGAATGGATGACACATTCCAGTGTCATGGAGTTTTTCACACTGAGGCTTTTACAGGAAACCATGATACAGTTCACAAAATTTCGACATATGAAGCCTAAATAAATCCAGTGCACCTTTTTGTATTCGCAGGAATATTGGATTATTGAATATAGATCTATTTGATTTAATATTCATCACAAACTCTCCACTACTAAAGTTATGCTTTAAAGAAAGGCCATAGCTACTGTCTTGATGTCATGATTGTTCCATCACTAGTGGTGTTGCGTTGTCATTGAGCTGACTTACAACACGCTGATTTGGGTGTTGTCTTAGATTTTTAAATTTACATCCTGTTAGGAAACATGCAAATTCCAATAGTAAAACCTATTCAAACTAAGAAAGAACACATACATAGCTTCTGTCTCCTTCTGGATTTGTTATTTCTTTCACTGTCACCAGTGGTTTTACTTCAACACATTTTTTGGCATCAGTTTAGAGCTGGCAACATGAAAAGAGAATTCAGTGCTGTACTTAAGTGAATAATGTTGGAGAGATGGTCATTAGGGAATAAGCCGTTTATAATTAAGTTGTTAATTATAGGTATGTTAGTAAGATGCCAAACTCAACCACATTCTTCCTTGGTTCTCTCTAATTTCCCCTCTGTCATCATCCACGTCCCCCTTTACAGTATCTTTTTAAGGGGGTATGGGTACACACACACTTTCTTTCTATCTCTCTGACTGCTGCTTACAGACTGTAAACATTAACAAGAGAGCTCTGAGTTCACCCACAGAGAACAGTGCACGTCACTGCCATTTTAAACTGAACACAAATATGCCCATGCTACCTCAAACTCCCATAAACACACACATACACACTTACAGATGCAAACATTGCCTGCGAAAAGCAGCTGTAAGAGAACTGACAAACTGATCTTTGTCTAAACATGAAAATGAGACAGGCTACATGTGGGCTGCTACTGATTATCAACACATAGTGCGTTATAAAAGTTGTCTGTTTCATTGTTAACCATGGCTTATTCAGCTGATTAGACTGACTAGACTGACTATGCTATTCATTTACCGGAGACTTTTAATGGTTTGATGGAACTTCTGAATGTGCATTTACACAAAACATATAAGGTGCTT